CGCCTAAAGCGGATAGGGCTGTTCCTCCCCCTGCCTCTGAGCCTCGAGCAGATGTGGCTGCATCTACACCTGCCTCCGAGCCTCGACCAGACATGGCTATGTCTACACCTGTCTCCAAGCTTCGAGCAGATGTGGCTGCATCTACACCTGCCTCTGAGCCTCGAGCAGACGTGACTGTGTCTACACTTGCCTCTGAGCCTAGACTAGCTGTGGACCCGCCTATAGCCAGCCCAGTGGTCAAGCCAGCAGAGGCTTCACCTGCACCTGTTTCAGAGGCTGTGCCGGACACAGCCCCACCTCACTCTGTTTCCAAGGCTGAGTCTGATGTGGATGTGTCTACACTTACTCCCAGAGCTAACTCTGCCACTCCCTGCTGGCCCCCTCTTCCCCAGGCTGGACCTGATGTGGTGGAGACAAAGGTGGTATTTCCGGGGGGACACGGAGAGAAGCCCAGAGAGGAGTCCTCAGCAGGGGCCCCTGGACACCACTCAGGGGAGTTCCCCCTGGGCCCTGTTCCAGCCCCCAAGAGGAAAAAGGTACGATTTAACATGGCTGTGTCCAGCCCCGAGGAGCCAGAGCCAGGAGAAGCCTCGTGCCGACCGTTACTAGCCACAGCCCACTCTTCAGCCTCCAGGATGGCAACTGGGGGCCGTGGCGGGCCTGGAGCCTGGGATGCTGTGGCAGTCACGCCCCGGTCCCCCCAGCCTCGGATCCTCAAGCACCTGCCACCCCTTGCTCCCTCTGCCTCAGCGGGGCCGGGGCCCAGGAGCTGCTTTGCAGTAACCCTCCCCGAGGCCTATGAGTTCTTTTTTTGTGACACCATCGAGGAAGAAGATGAAGATGCTGAGGGGGTGGCAGCGGCCAGCCAGACCACGGCTGAAGTCCAGTGGCCAGATATGTGCGAGTTCTTCTTCCAGGACTGCCAAGCCCAGAGGTCGAGGCAGAGGAGGGGCCGCTCTGCGGCCCCGCCTCTGAGAGCTGAGCCTGGGCCAGCCTCCCCACAGGCTGCAGACACCATGCCCATCTCCATCCCTGAGGCCTATGAACACTTCCTTGGGGAGGACAAGTGCGGGAGTGTGCTGGGGCCAGCCACCCTCCTCCAGCTGCAGAACTCAGAGACTCCCAGGCTAGTCTTCCAGGGAGCGGGGCCTAGGACCCCACTCACGCCTGGCTCAGCCACAGCAGAGCAGCTTGGCCTGGCAGTCGGGCAGGCAGGTGCGTGTCGCTTGGGCCCCATGGCCTGTCCAGGTCCTGGGAACACACTGTCCAGGGAGTTCAGCCAGGAGGGCTATTGGGGAGGGGCAAGGCAGGACCCTGGGTTGTCTGCTAATGGAGGGGGGAGGTGACTTGGGAAGTAGTTGGGAGGGACCCCAGGACGCGGTCTAGATGAGGCAACCCAGGCCAGGCCCTGTGGCCATCTAGGAGTTTGGCTGATCACTATCCTGTGTTCAGCTCCAAATGACAACAGCACCCTGCCCCCAGTCTCTAGTGGGGCAAGTGTGAGGGACTGCTCCCACTCTTCAGGGTCAGGCAAGCCAGAGGATGAGCGCTCCCATCCGCTCTGGAAGGTGGTGTACAGATCAGGAAAGGAGGACCCCAGAGACAACTTGCTAGAACTGGTCTGACTCAACCATGCCACAAGCCACCAATGTCTCAGGGCAGAGCTATCAGAGGGAAGATGTGACTCAGATAGCTGTGTCCAGGGCAGGAGATTTTTGGGATAGATGGTTCTGGGACAGATGTGTCCGCGAGCAGAGAGCTGTAGCTGAGGGTATGCTTGTCTTTCCTAGGGGAGCTCCGGAGTCCCCTCACCTCGTTTACCTTTAGCCAGAATGACATGTGCCTGGTGTTTGTAGCCTTTGCCACTTGGGCTGTGAAAACATCTGATCTGCATACTCCAGATGCCTGGAAGACAGGTTTGGGGGCCCTGGGGTGGAGGGAGCTGTTGTCTGGGGGCCAAGTGGAGCGTATGGCACCGTGCGGCAGGGACAAGAGTGCATGGGAGGCAGATTTCTTCCTGGACTTTACTCTCCTGCTGCCACCCCCCCTCTGACCCGCTGCCCTTAGCCTGCTGGCCTGTCCCGCCCTTTGAGGGCTGGGTCATGCACGCAGAAGGTGAAGACGAGGCTAGAGTGGGTCCTCAAGAGACCTTGTGCTTCTTTTGCAGTGTTGCTGGCCAACCTCGGCACCATCTCTGCCATCCGCTACTTCCGCCGGCAGGTGGGGCGCGGGCGCCACAGTCCCAGCCCCAGCCGCAGCCCCAGCCCCAGCTCCAGCTCCAGCTCCTAGAGCCAGGCCTGGCCCAGGAAGACGCAGGACAAGATGTCCACAGTGCCCAGGATGAGGTGCTGCCCTCATTTCTGCCCTTTGATCCCTGTCCTCTACAGCCTCCAGGAGGGAGCCAATGTCCCAAGGCCAAGATTGCACCCATGCCTCTGGGGAGAAGATTCTGGAAGTCTGGGTGAATGGAAGGCAGCAGGGAGCTAGTCAGTAGGGTAGCCAGATTAGCAAATAAAAACACGGGGGGTCCAGCTGAATGTGAATTTCAGACATGGCAATATTTGGGGCGTACTTACACTAGGAAATGACTTGTAGTTTATCTACAACTCTAATTGGGCACCTGGTGTCTATCTGGTAAGGTAGGTGGGCATGAGTGACAGGAAAAGACGTTGGAAGTCAGGGGTGTCAGCTGCAGCAAGGCCTTCTCTGGAGGTCTGGGCAAGGGGACAGGGATGCTGGTGGCCTTGAAGGTATATAGGGTGACTGCTCTGCTCACAGCAGGCTGGGCTGGTGAGGGTCTCCAAGGCCTGTCTGACGCTGAGTCCTGAGAGACTGTGGCCAAGGCCTCCTCGGGCTCCAGCCTGCGACAGAGCAGGTACCTGCACAGGCATGTCTGGAAGTGGCCCCGCAGACCCTGCAGGGCAGGGGTGTGTGGGCAGAGTCCTGAGCTCCTTCTCTGGGGAGCCCTGGATAAAGGTACAGAGGCAGAACTTGGTGGCATTGGGTGGAGGGACTGGGCTCCTGGGATTGTCCAAGGGGCTCCCACAGGGGAGCTTACGTGGAGGCTGAGGACTGAGGGAAGTCAGAGACAGAGTGGGAACGTGAGTGAGGAGGTAATGGGTGGGCAGTGGGGCCACCTGTCTGGGTGCTGAGTGAGGTTCTGGCCTGAGGCAGCATGACAGGGTCCCCAGGACAGTGAGAAGCTCCTGGCTACTGAGTGAAGAACATATGGACACAACACAATAAAATCTCCTCTTTCTTTCTTTTTCCCTTGTTCAGTGGTGTCACTGTTTCCTGACCCTCAAACATGCCCAAGCAACACTGGGACCTGTGCCCCTCCTCACTGGGACACCCGCACACCTCTGCTGGTGGTAGTTCACACCTTGCTGACCTCTGACCCTCATACCTCTGACTTCACATACTCCGACCCTGCTAACCTGACTTTCTCAGCCCTCTGACCTTCATACCCATGCTGCCCTGCCCTCCCAGGTGACTCTCCAGCAAGCGCCCTCCCCACTGGGCAGGTAGAGTGAAGGAATGGCCCCTGTCGATAGCCAGGACTTCCTTAATGTCCCTCCCTGAGCTTTGGTCTGGCCATGCCAGCCAGGGCATCCCTAGAGATGAGGCCAGAGCCCAGGACAGGGTCCTTCTGGACTCAGGATTGGAAGGCTCCCTTGGCCCCACTGAGGTTATCCCTGACTCAGAATTTCATGTGGGTTGGGGAGGGGCAGCTGCGGCCCTCCTCAGATCCACTGGATGAGCCCCCCTTCAGCCTCAGGCCCTCTGAGCTGGGGCCGCTTCTGGTGGGAAGGAGACGAAGTCTTGCCCCAGATGTTGTCGTAGGCCGGGCCGTCTTTCCTTCTGGGGGACCTGCCATCTGGTGGGAAGGGCAGAGATGTGTCAGCTTTCCAGAAATGACACTGAGCTCACCCCCAGATGTGAGGGACCCTCACTTACCTGGGGGAGGCGGCATGGGGTCTGACGAACCTTCCCTAGTGGAAGAGACCTAGAAACCCCAAACCACAAGTCTGAGAGCCCAGGCAGACCCTGAGGCAGGGAGCTTGTAGATCAGCCCCCTGCCCCCAAATCTGCCAGACCTCACCCTTTTTACCTCCTGCCCCACATGTCCCCTCCTGCCCCCCTCCCCCATTGCTCCTTCCTGGAGGTCCCCTCAGAGACCCACACCGTCCCCTCCCCATAGCATCCCTTGAGCTGGGCCTCCTCGCACTAGGGTGGAGGGTGCTACTCACAAGCTGAGGAGAGTCTGGAGGCCGCGGCCCCCGGCCCTTGACAGAGCCTCGGTGCTTCTGAGAGGCTCGGGACTGCAGCCCCTTCTTGGACAGCAAGTGGGGGCCGGGGGAGCCAGAGCCGGGGTCAGAGACAGGCACAGACACAGGCACTGAGGGGAATGGGCTGGAGGGCTCAGGTCCAGGTGGGCTCCGCACTGCACTGAGGAACTGCCAGGAAAGCATGGGTGACCTGAGGACCTGGCTGGGCCTCTGTGGAGCCCAGGGACCTGGCCACCCATCATAGCCTGAGCAGGCTTCAGTCCGAAACCTCAGGCTGTGGCAACCCCAGACCCCAGGGGGAAGAGCAGAAAGGGATCTTAAAACTGTACACGGAGGGGCCAGCAGGTAGCGTAGAGGTTAAGGCAGCTAGACTGACTGCTCGGCTTCAGTCTTGGACCCGCAGCTTGAAAAACACACGGAGCACGCGCATGTGCATACACAAACTCTCAAGAGGAGAATGGAGGAGAAGGATTGCAGCATGGCCATTCCAATCCCCCAGAAAGTGACTGCTGACTTTCGCTCTCTCCTGTCTGTTGCCTCCTGGCTAGCACAAGAGTCCCATAGCAAAACTAAAAATGGAAAATACCTGTTCATGGGAAATGCATTTTATGAAGAAATGCTGCATGGATTTCAATTTTTTTTGGCATCAAAATAAACTCATAATTTAATTACATTTCCCACGAACTTAAAAAAAATATTTATTTTATTTTAATTATTAATTTGCTATAGGACATGTGTGCTCACCAGAGAGAGAGTGAGAGAAAGTGAGAAAGCAAACTGCCAGGCCTAGGACTCACACTGCAGTGGGCCATGAGTGAGTCCAGTGCCCTAACCAGTCAGCCACGTGGGAGTCCACCACGCCACCTGCTGGCCTCTTCCATGAACTTTTCAAGTCCCCTTATAGGCTAGACCTCAGACTCCACACCTTAGGCTTTCCGCACATATTGACCTCAGTCTGCGGGGACATTAAGCTCTTTCTGTCACCCAGAATGGGACACACCTCATCCAGGCCCTGGACGTCTGTGATTTTGCGGTGGGAGGTGGCGGGTGGCGGGCA